AGTCTCAGCAGGAATTTTACCTTGGAGTACACATAATGAATATTGTTTTTGTAAATGAATTTGTACCACCATCATTTCAAAAAAAGATAATGTAATGGGTAAACTTTGGTGGAAGCAGATAGAAATAGGTGCTCAGAGCTTTGAGAGAGTGAAGATGGATTGACTCGTGGGAATGGTGTAGACAGGGACTCTGGAAAATGTGGATGCAGTTTTAACATACAGGGACTCAGTATATGGTGTCTGTCTTTTATAATATTTTTGTTGTAATTTAAAAAAAAAAAAAAATTGTACCCAGGGGTATGTTTATCAGCCCACTTTCAACTTGCAATTGAAAGTATCTGACCACTTGGGTTCAGATACTTAGGGTATATATGTGACTTGATCTAATGGCTTTTTCTGTAACTGGAAACAAGTCTGCATGCTACCAATGAAAGAATGGATTAATTCTTTAGTGAAGCTCTGATGTACTTAACATTGATGTATTTTTCTCCCCTCTCTAATTCTTCACAGTGGGAGGAAGTAAGCATTATGGATGAGAAAAACACTCCGATCCGCACCTATCAAGTCTGCAATGTGATGGAGCCCAGTCAGAACAATTGGTTACGAACTGATTGGATTCCCCGTGAGGGGGCTCAGCGGGTATATATTGAAATTAAGTTCACACTAAGAGACTGCAATAGCCTGCCAGGTGTCATGGGAACATGCAAAGAGACTTTTAACCTCTACTACTATGAATCCAACAATGATAAGGAACGTTTTATCCGAGAGAGCCAGTTTGCCAAGATTGATACTATTGCAGCTGATGAAAGTTTCACCCAGGTGGACATCGGTGACCGGATCATGAAGCTGAACACGGAAATCCGTGATGTGGGGCCACTAAGCAAAAAAGGGTTTTACCTGGCTTTTCAGGATGTAGGTGCTTGCATTGCTTTGGTGTCTGTTCGTGTTTTTTACAAGAAGTGTCCATTGACAGTTCGCAACCTGGCTCAGTTTCCGGACACCATCACTGGGGCTGATACATCCTCTCTGGTAGAGGTTCGTGGTTCCTGTGTCAACAACTCAGAAGAGAAGGATGTGCCAAAAATGTACTGTGGGGCAGATGGTGAATGGCTAGTACCCATTGGCAACTGTCTGTGCAATGCTGGGTATGAAGAGCGCAATGGGGAATGCCAAGGTAGGAGCAGCCGTGTTGTACTTTTCATTAGGGCTTAGTGCACATAATTGAATTGGAGATAAGAGTAGGTGGAGTAAAGCCAGTAATTAGTAGCTCCTGGGGGATGCAGTGGGATGGAGGGGTCTAATGAGAAAGTCCAATAGCTCCAGGTGGCAAAGCTAAGAAGTATAATACTGACACAACAAATGATGCTGCCATTATCACCAGAAGGCAAAAAACATTTGCTAACAGGCACTTAAATTTGAATTGGCTTGGGAGTAGCCACTGAAATTTGAATGAACACAGAAGTTATGTACTTGAGCCATCATCATTTTAAAGGCTCGCGCTCTCTCTCTCTCTCTCGGAGATTTTAAACACAGAGAATGCTGCATTCTGCCAGAGAAAAAGATGAGACACACTTTTTATTAGGAGTTCAGCCGTAAAACAGGGAAACAAAGTGACACAATATAGTCTGGTTTTATTTTTAATTTATTTTAATTTTATTTCTTTAGGAAATGTAATTTTTTTGGTGTTTTACTCTATTGTGTATTTTTGCACTAAACAACCCTTTGATATTTGACACTACTGCCTTTGTCCAAATATTTTCATTTCTCAGAGGGTCTCTTGTTGTCTCTACAATAAAGGTGCAAGGGTACTCTTAGAAATGCTAAGTCTTTTCCTTCTACCTGGTGTGCTGCAGAATTAGGGATTAAAGTTTTATATAAAAAGGAAGATTATTTCTCCCTCCCCTCCAAGGTTCTACCATTGCATAAGCAAACCATTTGGGGCTGCATCTTCCCAACTTTTGCCTATGTGAAACTAAATAATGATTAGTTTAAGTAGTCTTTTAATGACTAATTGCACAGATTAATGGGTCTAATTCATCCATGGGGAGTGCACAGCAGCTTGAAGGATTTCGCCCCAAGATTTTCATTGAGGCACTTTGGAAAGTTGGTTTTGGTCTTAGTGGCCTCCTTTCTGTTTCAGGCATTTTTTTTTATTTTTTTATGTATTTATTTATTTATTTATTTTTTTTCAAAGGAAAATTCAATGTCTTGTTGCTGTGCCTGAGAATGATATAGCAATGTGACCAACTGATGGCTGCTTTTCTGGACCAGTTTAGAAGGATGCAGTTCCCCCCCAAAAAAAATTTCTTAGAAGTCCAGTTGAAATTGGCTGTAAATCATTATTTAAAATAATGTGAAATTCACTTTTATGCATTGCAATTAACAGTTGGCAGGAAAGCAGAGCTGAAGCACAAGCGTCTGTCTTTGTTTTAGCATTTTTGTTAGATGGAAAAAATGTAAGCATGTCATATCATCAACACAATTACAATGGGCTGGAGTGAGAATTGAAAAATGAACAGCACAATGACAGAGCACCTTATTTAAAGTAAATTATTCTGTCTTGGAACCCTGAGAGACAAACTTGGAAATTTTTGTGCCTCAATAAACAGGAGCATGTAGATGATGTGCTGTGGACACTGTTTAGGACAGCCATCAGGTGAAGAGATTTTTATTATTTTTCAAATGGCCAGTAACTTCTAGTCAATGCTTCTTGACACTCTTACAGTCCAAATCATGAGAGGAGGAAGTGAATGGAAGAAGGCATCTTGGTTTGTTGTATGCAGATTATGGCGTGGTTCTTTTATAGGACTACTGGGTCAGTACAGGGTCACATTGATTGATGCAGATCTAACACTTTTCTTAGCCACTGGCCCAGACGTGATGAGCTAATTGCATGACAAATGCTGCGTTGTTCCTGGGAAGTCACTCGAGAGGTTTTACTGGTGGGCAGTACAGATGGTGAGGCTTTTTTTATATTTTTTTGGAATAGACCTTGGGAATGAGTGTTTCCAGTCAGATTACCTATAAACTCAGCTAGACCCATGCAAGTTGGACTTGCGAAACCTGATTATCCATTTCCCTAGTTAAAGAGAAATCTGATGAGGTCATATCTGAAAGAGAGAAAGAAACCTTTGTCTACCAGGCCCTCCAATGTAAAGCTAGCCTGTTCAAGTTCTTTTTCAAAGGATGCAAGCCAGCAAGTAATTTTGAATAGTTAAAACCATTTCATCAGTGGTTATTTGTGGTTTCCTTTTTAACATTGCCATTCCCCAAACCAGAGTAGTTTACCAAGAAGTTCCTTTTTAATTCATGAAGTGTACTGCAAGTTCACAATTCATTATCTGATGGTTTTCACTAAGGCTAAGTTTAAAATGAACTGGCCTCTTGACATGGTTGCGTAGGGGGGTTTCCCTTTTACCAGTTCCCTGTTTCAGTTAACTTAGAATTCAGTAAATTTGCTGTTCTTGTAGGTTTTCTGCAGTGATAAACGTTAGGATTCCCACAGATTTTTGAGGGAATGGTAAGGGGAAGAAAAATCTCTTAAGTCTGCAGAAAACTATAAAAGGATACCAGCTTAGGACTGGAACACAGTGAGCAGGTTCCACCCCCAGTTGTCTTTCATTGGATTGACTGTGGCAGGGCAGATGCAAGAGAAGGTCAGAGATCATCCATTTCATCATCCATCTTTCTCTTGTGATCTTGAGGTCAGAGTTAAGATTAAGACCTTAATTGTTTGATTAAAGGCTTGATGGCACAAATAGTCTGGGCTAGTGTGGGACTTAAGACATCCTTGTTGTGGGATCTAACACTGGTCATCTCTGGAAGACTTCAGGTGCTTGGGGACAGAAGTATGCTTCCTTGATTCTCACCTCCAACACTATGTGCTAATAGAGTCCAAGAATGAACAGATATGTCAGTATTTAAAAGATGATGCTCCGAAAGCAGTGGCAAGTTAATTCCAGCTTCTGATATTTAATAACATTTTTCTGAACTTACTTTTTTTCTAGTTTTGTTTGGGGGGAGGGAGGGGAAGAAAATGTGTGAAGCAGTTTGTCTGTCAAGGAGAACATGTGGTTGACACTTGGAAGCAGTTTGACTTTGAGTAAATTCTGCTGAGAATAGGTCAGTAGAAGCTGACCAAAGGAGCTGTTTCCTGAAAACAGTTGCAAAAAAAAAAAAAAAAAGTTGCCACTCTTTCTGTGTGTGTGTTTAAAAAAAAAAAAAAAAAAAAAAAAAACCAAACAAAAAAACCCCTCCTTCCAGCTCCACTGTGGAGCTCATGATAATTGGTCACCTGTCAAAAAAATCAAGGTTTGGAAGTGGAAAATAACATCTTAAACTGTACTTAAAATCAGGATGTTTTCCAGATACTGTACATGGACTGTGATTCTTTATACTTAAAAAAAAAAAAAAAAGTTTGTTGGAACAGTCATTGTCTGCTGATGGTAGGGGCTGCAGCTTTAACTTATCAAACTTATTCATTAATGACTAGTGCTTTAAAAAGAAAGCACAGGGATTATTGTTAATGAAACATGAAATTACCTTATCTAGTGACATATCTCAAGACTAAAGTAATTACTGCTTTAGGGCACAGTAAGGCCATGACTTTCTTTTTGACTTGAATGCATCACTGTGACTTAAATTATTTTGTTACACATTGATACAGTATGGCTTGGATTTAGTTACTTGATTTCCTAATTGCAATAAAATGATACTTTTGCATGCAAAAATAATAAAGAAAAAAGAAAAGCAAACAGGGGAGGGGGGAGATTAGAGAAGTAATAGACTGTAACTGATTGTGGTGATTCTGCTGTGAGATTACAAATGTCGATTTTTAGACCTGCCCTTTAGCAAAAACGTGTGATAATCAAGATTTTCATATGAAGGTTATGAGAATTAACTGCTCTGTCTTCAGAACTCACAAAAGGAAGGGTATATAAGTGTGTGTAAACTGTGCAATTGGCAGAAAATCCAGCCTTGCTGAAACCGTTCTGAGTGGCAGTTTTATATCCTTGCTGCTTGGAATTTCCCCTCTTTGATAAAAGCATCTTGAAAAAAGTAATAATTTGAATATGATTACTTTTTTATCTCTGTAGCTTTGAAGAATGACTGTGATCATTGAGAAGAGCAATTCATTTTTATATCAGAAGAGCAGAGTTTAATTGTTTGGTTAGCTTGTATGTGTGTTCTTGTTTGTTTCCCTGTATCGATTGCATTTTCTTTTGTCAAGGTCAAGATGCCCTAGGTGCATATTCTTTTTATATAAAGGGTAAGCACCAGGATTGCCCCAGAAAGGCAGATTTGAGCTCACTTAACGTTTGCCAAGCTGATCAGTTTTGGCAACAGAAAAAGCAAAAAAACTAACAGCATTAACATGGTAGGGTTTAACAGACTTGTGAAGACAGAAGCTTCTTGGAGGGGTGGGGGGCGTGGAGCAGAGGAGCTGTGCTGAGGCACAATCTGTTTGAACTAAATTAAGAGTTTTTCATCTACAAAATAAATGACATGGCTGTGTTCTACATTAGCAGAACCTGTTGAATCCTACAGGGATAGTTCTTGAAAGGACTTTGTATCACACAGTGTGCTGCAAAATCGCCACTTAAATATCATGCGGACTTGGGGGAAAAAAAATTCCCCTTTAGCTATGTAGCTAAAAAGGTTCTCAAATAATGGTCCGTTAGACTCTTCCTTGGAGCAAATTTTGGGATTGCTTCCATCAGAATCTGTGACAGCTTCTGTTGATTTATTCAAGACTGTCAGGCCCTCGCATTGTTAGTGAAAAGGGAGATCAGCAAATTATGCTAATCAAAACCAAATGAAAAATGATTCGTGATTACAGGACTTCATACCATCTTTGGCAGTTTATTGTAAACTTAAGGTAAAAATCCCACTCCTTTCCCTCCCTTCACTACTCCCCAAACTTGCCTGATGCATGATGAGACCTAGCCTGACAGATTTTGGCCACTTATGAGTTATTTATATGTCTGATAACATGATCCAGTGATCTTGAAACTTTCATTTCTCCTTACAGTTACAATAATCAAGAAAAAAATTCAGCTGTATACTTCTCTCTTTTTGAGACTTTTGTTTTTCTTCCCCTTCTCCCTCTCACTCCTCCCTGACTTTGGGATAAATCTCTCTCTTCAATTCATCCCATTATGTCCTCCTTTTGAT